TGTTTTTTTTTTGTACCATGCTGTATACACAAGGGCAGCCCATGGGTTCCTGGGTATTCTCCTTTCTCTATTGTTATCTTAGGAGAAACACTGGAGTCACAGACACATCACTAACACCAGCTTTTTACGTGGGTTCTGGGGCTCCAAATGTAATTCCTAACAACCATGAGGTACATGATTTCCCACTGAGCCACCTCCCCAGCTCTGTGTGTGTGTGTGTGTGTGTCTCTGTCCCTTTTAGACATATTTATATATTCTAGTTAAAAAACAATAAGTGACTTTCCTGAAATGATATGTGATTGTGGCAATTGGTAAGCATTCATTAACTCTAAAGCCATCCTTAAAATCCACTAGCCCTTCACTTCTCCCATCTGGTTTATTTCTAGATCTTTCCCCTTACTCTTAGCCTTTCTTCCTGACCATGCCAGCCAACCAGGGCCTCCCTGGTGCTGGCTTAATGTCATTCTCTTAAGCCCAATGATTGTATCCATTCTTGATTCCGTGTGAATTGTATTCACACCAGAAAGAGATTAGCTTTAAAATCTGATTAAATCTCTACCTTCTTAAGCCTTCTAAGGGCTTTCTCCAGTTGCTTTAAGGATAAAGATAATGAATGCCATTAAGGCTACCTTTGAGAAGCCACATGACTGGCCTCCCTTAACCTCTGCACTCTGTCTTCACTTCTGCCCGCTCTGATTCTCCAAACCTCATTCAAGCTGGCTGATTTTTGGTCTTCATGGATTTGACCTTCATCCTACACACAGTTTTTTTCACATTGGATTCTTTCTGCCAAGAATTCTTCCTCTTCTCTGAATCCAATCATTTGCCCCTACCCTTCCAATCACAGCTCAATCGACCCTACAAAGTCTTCTGCGAGCCCTCCTAACTAGATCAAGCCCAAAATTTCTCTTCTCAAAAGACCACTGACTTCTACGTGTCTGCACTTACCACAGGCTTTATTTTACACTTACCTTTGCATCTAGTTGAATGCAGAAGACTTAGATGATGTCTAATTCAGCCTCCGATGTACTGAGAACAATGCTTAGTACACATAGGAGCTAGTAAATATTGAATGGTGAACAGTTATTCACAGATCAATTTGTGTGCAATTCTTCTTAGATATATAACACATAGACAGTCTGTGTAACACATAGACAGTTACAACATAAATTAAATCCCCTGAGAAACATGACAGCATTGATTTCAGCTTTCAATTGTGTGATAATTAAGAGAACAAGCCCTCTTGGCATTTATACTGAAGCTTGCCATTTCTTTACTGGTTAATGCCTGGAACATACATTATTCCTAAAACCTCGATCTTGCAACTTAGTGTCTTAAGTCCCATCTGCAGTCCAGAATTGTGGAAGCAATGAGCCAGCTTGTTATTCTTTTAGCTGTCAAAGCATTCTGCCCTAATAGTTGGGAAACAAAGACTGTTGTTCATTTTGCGAATTCTGAATTGTCTAGTAGTCCTCAGCCAAAAGAGAATTTAAAAGACAAGACATAATGACTTGACTTTTCAACTAGATTAGGGGAACTACACAGGAGTGCCATTTTCTAATGTTCACGGTGTTTTGTTGTAGTTATAGTTGGAGAAATACTAAGCCAACTCAAGGAAGTTCAGCATAATGAGAAACAGGATGTGGACAAAGTTTGAGTGACTTCCAGTTTCAGGATTGGCAATGAGAATGACAAGTGTCAATCACACAGCTTTCCAACCTCACGGGTCACCCCAAACCCTTCTTATCTTGGTCAAGACTTGAGAACAAGGAGCCATAGAACCCTTTCATGAAAAGATAGACTGTGCATTTCTGTAAATGCAAGGGCTGTATCGAAATCAAGCAACAAACTGCTGCTTTGTATAAACAGCAAAGTAAATAAGTCACTGCTCTGAAGTTCTCAGCATCGGGGTGACCCCCCACTGCTGGAGTGCCCCAGCTTGCTGTCATTGAGAGATGGAAACTTAAAGTCCAATGAACAGCGAACACTATTACTAATAGATTAAAGTTACTTTATGAATTACGTCCAGCTGTTCGACATGTGGGGCACTGGTAAATTAAGTCACTATCATCTATTCTAATGTTTTCCTAAATGTGATCCTTGCATGGCTTGTATCGGAATGACCCATTGTGCAGTTCTTGTCTGTCCCCTAAATTCTCTTTTCTTCTCTTACCTCTTAGATCTAGCACAGAGCAGAATCTCTGGGGACAAGGCATAAATATCACATTTTAATACCTGCCCCTCAGGGGATCCTTATGGGCCATAAAGTTGGAGACTAGAGTGAGTTTTGAGGCAGAGTTGCTTACAAGAAGTTTACAGGGTTAGGTTTTTCTCTGCCAGAAGGCAGTGTTCTCTGAAATATGGCTGGGTTAATATAATAAACCACACCGGACTTTTGCAGCTTTTTTTCCCCCCTCATACTCTTTCTGCAGTATTCAGCCAGCCAGCAGTGATGTATGTCTTTCTACCAAAATCTTAAACACAATAGCAGGTGAACTTTATTTCTTATTAAAGATTTTGCACCGTAGTCCAGTCATTTTCAGTGACTTTTTTTTTTTTGACCCATTGCCTGCACTACCAGGCTCAGAGTTTTCTTTATTTGAAATAATGAGAGTTAATTGTGTTTTACAGTTGATTTAATGCCAAGATACGGCTATCCTCCTGACTGCCTAATCTATAATGATTACCTTGCAGTAAAAATCTGCTTGCCTTCTGTCTTGCCTCGAGAGCCTTGTTGGGGGTAGAGACATGAGGATTGCTAAGGATTTCTGGCTGCTAGCCTGGCTCTGGCTTCAATGAGACTCCCTGTCTCAACGGAATAAGGGACAGAGTAATACAGCCAGACACTCAAAGCTCTTCTTTGGCTTTCACACATGTACACATGGAAAGCACATATACTTTCATATACATATGCACATATAAAACACACAATTTTCTTAACTCTAGCTAGATTGTATTTATACATGCGTGTATGTTCTTATATGTGTATAAATGTATATGCATGTTTATAGATACACATGTATGTGTTTGTATGTGTGTATTTATACGTGTATGTGTGCCTGTGTATATTTGCATATATGCATATGCATGTAGGTATGTACATGCACATGTGTGTATGTATTGACAAGTTCCTGATGCACAGCGACCTGGTGGAAATACAATTCTTTGGCAGAATGGTTTACAGAATGGTTTACAGAAACAATGGCTGATCTTGAACTTTTTGGATAAATAGGTAATCCAGTGCTGTACAGGTCATGATGTACGTGTACCAACTTGCTATCTCGCTTTGGGACCCCTTTTTCCTACACAGCTAGTTTGCATGCCATAAAATAAAACAATAAAATAAAAATGATCTTCAGTTTCTTAGCCGTATTTTTCCTCCCAAGGAGAGCCTAGGTTTTCTTAGAGATGAGTTTCCGCATCAGAGAAAGTCTCAAGTTGTTGGGACCTATAGGCCTGGGGAGGCTGGAGAGAAAAGGAAGGCTTTTTTTTTTTTTTTTTTTTTTTTCTGATCCTCTGTAGCACGCAGTGCACACTGAAATAACAGTGCAGACCTGACGATTTCCTCTTGGTTTATAGATTTCCCTGAAAACAGTAGGTTTGCATCTTGAGACTGAATCTATAGTAGAAAAACCTTACATGGGGTTAACATCTTTTAGAAGCCTTGCTAAATAATCAACTCCAGATCAGTTTAGTTTGGCATACAGACGAAAGCAAGAGGCTTGTAGATAAATTCATTGCCTGCCCCCTCTGTGAGACTCTAAAGCTAAGAGGATCCGGGAAGAGCAACTGAGTGTCTGGCAGTGTCTCTTCTTCTTTTCAATGAGCTGTTTACTAAATTCTAGAGTTTATAATGAAACCCAGGCTTACTCTCCAATCCACGTAAACAAGCTCTTGGCTTTTGTGCTATCAGGTTTTATGCGAGCAGAGCCACGGGGGCTTCCTTTAGCGGTTGCTGCCTGGTAGGTTCCTGTTTGTTTACGTATGCACATATGTGCTCTGTAAGAATGATAGTCAAGGAGCCTGGCAGGGAAAAGCCAAAAACAAGCCTTCCCTCATTTGAATCCTAAAGGCATATAATATGTAAACGACTTTCCGATTTAGAGACTTCTAAATATGGTGTGGTTGCCAAGTTGCAAAATTGCTTAGGATGGAAGCTTCAGCACACACAAGAGCCTCACAGGACACAGTCTCTTCAAAGCAGGCAAGCATTTGACAGGAATTCTTGCAGCCATTGCCACTTTCAAGCTAAATTCAAGGCTAATGAAGCTCCCTGTGCTACTGTCCTTTATGCCTGCTTCCTACCCCACCCCCACCCCACAAACAAGCTGACTTTTGTCAGGAATGGGTAGAGACTGGAATGATATTGTCTTTTTTTTTTTTTCATACTCAGAAGGACTTTATGCAGCTTAGCTGGCAGTGTCAGTATGTTGATAAAAGTTACTAGTATAAAATTTAACAACATGGAGGGAAAATAATGCTATCTCTTGTGTGAGTTGCAATTTTGGAAGATCCCATTGTGTGAAACTCCCGAGGAATCAGAAGTAGCTGAGAACGTAGTTATATAGATACAGGGTCATTCCAACTGCCAGAAAAATAAACAAATGGTAAAGACAGATTTGTTTGGTTTATAAATTGTACTTTTTTTTCTTGTTTAAAAAAAAAACAATCCCTGAAGTTGGGGGGTGGGGAGCTGAGGGCATCAAATAACTACTTAGCAAATGCTTCGAGCTGATGGGAAGTTCTGGGCAGCTCTGATTCATTTTTTATCGGATAAAATACATTTGGTTTCTCTTTTGACAAACCATGTATTTGTGAGGGAAGAAAAAAACGAACATGTACTGTTATTGGCCACAGCTACACAAGAAGTCCTCCGGTTGCCAAAGGATACCACATGAAAGTGTTTGTGCGAGGGGAGGGGCTGACCGGGGGGTGGGGCCAAGAAGGATGTTGCCTTAAGCCTCTTATGCTCAGAGTTGCAATTTGTGAACCAACTGTGATGAAATCGAGCTCTGCACGAATCAGATGCGCCTGTCAACTTCCCAGGTGGGATTGCTTGGAGTTAACAGCCTGAATTCAGAGCCCCGAAAGCCGAGCATTCAGGGCAAGCAGAGAACACCCTGCAGAGGCTTTCCAAGAATCCCGCGGCATGGCAAGACAAGGCTGTTTCGGGTCATATCAGGTAGGAGGATGGTACAGTGACTAGCGAAGTGCTGAATCTCTCAGATTACTGCCATTTGAATTCGATTTTTTTTCCTCCTTGTTCAAATTCAGACATCATCTGAGAAAGCCTTTCGGAATTGGCAGGACTCGGGGTGTTAGGGTCATCTGAACTGCTTTCATGCACTTTGAATCCACCAAATGTAGCTGTGTCTGACAACTTGATTTTCTTATTCCCTTAGGTAATATCCTTGCTCACTTTTGCCGTCGGCGTCAATATCTGCTTAGGATTCACAGCAAGTCGAATTAAGAGGGCAGAATGGGATGAAGGACCTCCCACAGGTAAGAGTAGCAGTTATTAGCAGTTTTGTTTCTTTGATAGTACTGTGCACTTAGCAGTCCTCATCGGCAACCTCGGGCGTCCATCTTTCAGACACCTTGAGCCTAAGGTGTCTCTGTCATAAAGCCAGTTCTGTCTATAATTTAGGTGTAAAGAATGTCGTTTTAATCAGAGACCTTTATTGTCGATTCTCAACAGCTGGCTGCTTACATTTTTGTATCCTGAAGTTTATACATATTGAAATAAAATGAGAACATTTGTTCATAAACGAAGCCATGCTAATTTTAGTGAGAATAGGTATCACTTTAGTGTTGGAGAAGGACGAGGCTGTCAGGTTGCATGAGGTACAGAGGGCTGAGACGGATGTGTTCGAATAAAATACATTATTTGCTACCAGAAAGTTTTACCCTCGGAGTGAGAAAAAAGGAAGTTAAAAAAGGCAATAAACTTTAAAAAAAAAAATAAAAATTTAGAACTTTGAGACTAGGATTTCCAGAGACTAGGGGAACCCTCAAGGTGAGCCCTTTAGAGAGTTTTGAGAGTAGATGTGCACTCTCTGTGTTTCCTTCTGGAAGAAGGCAAGGTGAGTGTTTTCAGAGCTGGCTTAACTAACACAGCTGGAGTGAATGGGGCTCCTTTGCAGTGGGCTGTACCGAGCAGAGTGGGGCTTCATAAAGGAACGTTTGTGCAGGCTGAGGGGGCCGAGTTGACCTGGTCTTAAGCAATGGTTTGGTTAATTTCCTGGAAATTGGAGCTGCTGATGGTTTCAGAATTAAAAATTGCATTTGAAATGACAGGTACTCTAGGGGGCAATATTTTCTTCCCTTTCTCTAACATGACAGTATGTTTTCTGTCTCCCCGGGAATTTGGTGTTTCTCTGCGTTTCTTGATTGGGGCACTATGAAACCCCACCTGTCTTCATACGACCATAAATGTGTATTATTAAACGAGGTATGATGGAATATTGAATCTTCCAATTAAGTTATCTGAGTTAGGCTTGAGAAGGTTGAAGGTACACTAGGAGGTGTGGCTGAGGGAGCTGCAGAGAGGTGTACTTTGGGGAAAGAATGAGAAAACAGACCTTAATAAATTGTGGCCCCGGGGAGCCCAAGGGACAAAACTTCATTGTGTTTCATTGGGGAGAGAGGAGAAGGGTTGCTAGGCCAGAAGAGAATGCTGTTTTTATTGGAGGCAAAGGCTGTCTTCAAAGCCTTCTTTTTCACTCCCACTAAGGCTGATTGTGACAGGGGACCAGGCCCTTGGCCTGAGCATGCTGCTTTGACAGTCCACAGCGGGTCTTTCCCCAGTGCCTAAAAGGAACTGTTTTTCTGCTTTCTTTAAATGACAGCGGCAGGGACTGATGCTGCTACTTTAATGACTGCATTATTTTCAAACTTGACTGTTTTTGAGAAATGGATCATGAAAGTCCCAGCCTGGGACCCTGGGTCCATCTTAATAAGTGCTTCTGTCACAGGCAAGTCACTTGTAATATTTCAGTTCTCAGCAATGAGGATCAGTTTAGAAGACTTTATTTTCTAGGTTATTAAAAATAAATAAATAGCCGGGCAGTGGTGGCGCACGCCTTTAATCCCAGCACTTGGGAGGCAGAGGCAGGCGGATTTCTGAGTTCGAGGCCAGCCTGGTCTACAGAGTGAGTTCCAGGACAGCCAGGACTATACAGAGAAACCCTGTCTCGAAAAACAAAAACAAAAACAAAATAAATAAAATAAATAAATAAATAAAAAACCGTTCCCTCCACCCTGTTTCATCTCCTATTAAATGTGTGTGATCTCTACCCGAAAACTTGAAAAGTATGGATTAAATGTATCAGCCCCTGAAAACATTGCTCATATAATAAATTACTTCCATATGTTGTAGGGAATAGATACAAGACAAGTAATGTCAATATTACTTCTGGAAAACCAGTTTGGTCTATAGTACTACTGATCATTTAGATAGCATTAAACATACTACAGAATACTACTTCTTGAATTGTTTAATAGAATCAGTATTTTAAGCCTTTAGGGTGTATAGTGATAGTTTCTTTCATCTCCATGAAACTTAGTTTTAGGGTGCCACACAGTTTATATCCGAGTTTCAGTGATATACTTATGTGGCTTTTATTCTTAAGGTTTCTTTTTATGCAGCTTACCTGCTGTCTACATACTGGGGTTAATTTCTGCTTAAATAGAAAAGACAAAAGATTCCTTTTAGAAACTGGGAAAGGCAGAGTGTACACTTGAAAGGAGGAATATCCTAAATAATACAAGTGATAGGCAGTTCTGACTATTAGCAAAACTTTTGCATCTGAGAATATTGGGTGAAATTTTTTTCTACACTTTAAAAATAAAAGTCAAGATAGAAAGCACCCTAGGGTTTTTTGTTTTTTTGTTTTTCGTTTTGTTTTTTAAACAACAGTCTCAGGCTCCAAAGAAATCCTGCAAATTCAGTGCCATCAGGTGTTTCACAAACAAGAAACACAAAGACTGTCCATTTATATGTGGCCAGAGCAAGAACCACCATTCAAAAGCATGCAACTTCTTAGTTAGCCCTGGTAGCTAGCTAGTGCCTCAGGGCCCCTGGGTAACAGCTGAGAACATTTTACATGCATGAATACTCTTACTGCTACACTGTGAACTGAGGTGTCTGCTCCAAGGCTGTGACCATGCAAAGAAACTTATAACTAATTAACTAGTACACTTGTTAGCTGGATTTATTGTTGGAACCCGATGATCTGTTAGAAGCAGGGGGTGAGGAGAGCTCTCCCAGATCCTGGGATGTGTAGGGGGTGTGAAATGACCAAAGTGAGCTATGAAGCTCAGGAAAGGGACACTAAGGTCAACAGGCTGGCAGAAATAGAATGTTAAAGGAACGGTAAGTGCAGTTGAGCTGGATATCTTTGTTTAAACATCCGACATGATCGCTCTGTTTGTCTATAAAATGGAATGAAAATGTGTGCGCACGCCATTGTCTGCACACAGGCCTGCACGTGGATGCGGCATGTCTGGAGTTACGCAGGAGTCTGTGTTACAGAAGCTACGCTTCTTTAAATACTCCTTCAGTCCCCAGGTAGCCATGAGTATTCTTTGAAATAGTAGCGATGTCACACTTGACTGACAAAATGGGATTTTTGACCTTGTGAATACTTGGCTAATAAAAATTTGATAACTCCGTCTAATTTATTGTCACTTATATTGGCTTGGAAGGAAAGTTTAAGAGTGCATGAGTGATGAATTTGTGGGTAAATAGGAAAGGAAAAGGACAGCTAACAGCTGGGTTAGAAAAGGTTGCTAGTGCCTCAATATACAGTTGAGAGCACTTTAAATACCATTCCAGCAGACTGCAGGAAGACCTAAAACTGACAGATGATTGGCTGTCACTCTGGGAGGACAGTGATCAGATGGGGTATAATACACGATGTGACTTTATGTTAGACTGAACATAGAATTTGGGGAGTTTGAGTCAATGGAATGAGATCACCTGAGTTAGGATTGGGGACCCCACGGAGTTTACAGTTCTCTGTGGAGTGGGGCTCAGGGTGGTGATTTCTCCATTTACTTTTATACAGCTGAGAATTCTCTATAATGTTTCTGTATCTGAAATTTCAGTATGCTTTGTTCAACATAATTTTTTTTCTTTTCATTTTTTCCTTGATTTTTCTTTTATTAAAAGTAGATTTTTTTCATACAGCATATTCCAATTATGGCTTCCTTCCTCCAACTCTTCTTAAGTCCTCCCGACCTCCTCTCCCGTCTGAATCCACAGTATTTCTGTTTTTCCTTAGAAAACAAAGAAGTGTCTAAATAATAACAATGAAGTAAGATAAAACAAGCAAACAAACAAGCATAGGACAAGACAAACAAACAGAAGAAAAAGAGACAAAGAAAAAGCACATGAAACACAAAGATGCACGTGCACGCACACGCACGCACACACACACACACACACACAGAGGAATTGCATAAAAATTCACAAGATTTTTTTTTTAACGCTTTGGTATCTTGTTCATTTGTCAGTAAGAAGCAGGCAGACAACAGATTTGTATTTCAATTGTATTTGGTAACTTCCCAGTTGAATTCACATCCCTTTTGGATATACATCTATATAAATTTGAGGTCCCTTTTCTGAAAATACACTAAAATTACTCATGCTTGCCTGTAACTGTAAACTGTTGATGAAAGAGCACTTACAAACACACCACTATTTAAGCACACTTACTTTTTTTTTTTTTTTAAAGAAGCAAAGTGGCTCAAATAGGAACAAAGCTCAAGAAACCAGACAAAAACCAAGTAAGACTAAAGCTGTGAACTTTACCAATCTGTTGCTCCAGTCTGTTACTATTTTTGTTTATTTTTAGACAGAGTGTCACTGTATAGCCCAGGACAGCCTGCTGGAGTTCCAGGCCCATCATCACATCCAGCTTCTCTTCTCTCAGATACCTGAATACCCTCAGTGTGTCTGGGTTTAAACTCTCCCAATGTTAAATGGAAGGCTACCATGGATGGAGATACTCTCACAATAAGAGTCTAGAATAGACTCTTAATAAGGCAAGCAAACAGCACACTGGCCATACACACACTCCAGTAAGACCAGACTACCCAGGCTTGCTGGGCTCAGAGGTTGATCTGGACCTTGTAGGTTATTCTTACTTTATTGGGTTTTCTTTTGTTCCATATTTGCTTGTTCCACTATTTGTGTGTTCCATTATTTTGTAATTACGGCAAGGTCAGAGGTTTAGTTAGTCTAAGAATGCTTAGCCATACCTCAGACTGTCTCACTCAGATGTTTTTATCCTTCTGAACATATGCCTAATTTCCACCTACAATTATTTTAAAATATACAGTAAGTCAGCTGAAAAGAGAGGTGGGACATGGGGCTAAGGACTGCCACCACCCTTGGGCATAGCACTGATGAGTGAGTTGCTCAATGATGGTGGTTAGGAGCAGCTAGTAAGTCTTCTCCAGGAAGGCCTTGCAGCACCTAAGGCATTGCTGGTACACCA